TGATGTTAATCATATGGCACCAGAATTCCTAAAACCATGGACAAGAGAAAATCCACGATATTTAATAGAAATGCAAGAAGAACAACCAACTGGAGCTATTGTAGGAGCATTTACAGCAGTTGATGCAGATAGTAATATAGCAGGATATGCAATTATACCACCAAGTCCTTATTTTAATATAGATAATGTTACAGGTTCATTATATATAATTGTTGCATTTAAAAATAAAGAGAAATATATAGTAAAGAGAAGTATATAGTAAATATTATAAATTTTACAGGAATTGTACGAACAAGTCAAGTTATTGATTATGAAGAAACAAAACAATTGGAGTTTACAGTAGTTGCATATGATTCTGGTGTGCCTCAATTATCTGCAACTACTAAAGTAATCGTTACTGTAATAAATGTTAATGATCAAGATCCTAAATTCGAGAAAGAACTGTATAATGCCTCTGTAAAAGAAAACTCACCACCAGGTACTCATGTTACTGTTGTTAAAGCAACAGATGGAGATGAAGGTTCATTTGGAGAAGTTAGTTATAGCCTTATAGGTGATCATGCTGCTGACTTTAATATTGGTAAGTTAAATTCTCTGTTCATAATGATGTAAAATTGTATTTTATTGTATAAACACATATTTTTATAAATTATTAGGCCATGAAACAGGAGAAATTACTGTTGGTAGTGCTGCTGTTCTTGATAGAGAAATAACACCAAATATTACTATAACAGTAATGGCCAGTGATGGTGCCCATATAAATTCACGTCGAAGTACTACAGTTCCAGTAGTTGTAAAACTCATTGATGTTAATGACAATCGACCAATATTTACACAACATAGTTATAGAGCTTCGGTTGCTGAAAATCTGCCAGTAAATCCACCTGCACCTATTTTACAGGTAATTCCAATTTGAATATGATTCTAAAAAATTGTATAATTGAAAGGACTGATATACAAAATATTTCTTATAAGGTCAGAGCTGTGGATCATGATGAAGGAATCAATGGAGAAGTTTGGTATACTATAATTCATGGAAATGAAAATGAATCATTCTCTTTAAATCATGAAACAGGTATTTTATATCCTGGAGCAGCACTTCTTGGCAGAGCTGGTTCTTATAGAATTGAAGTAGAAGCAAGAGACGGCGCTGGTAATGGTCCACATTCAGATAAATGTTATGTTGATATACGAGTCACACCAGTAAATCAACACAAACCACAATTTGTTCTACCTGAATTAACAAATGCTACTGTTGAAGTACCTGAGGTATGTGTAAAAATAGTTATTAATAAAATAATTTAATTTGATTTGTTAAAATTATACCAATGTAATAATGAACAAAATTTTTTAGAATACAGGCGTATTAAATTACTTAATATTAACTGTGAAAGCGATCGACAGAGATCCTGGTGAAAACGGGCGCGTAAGTTATCATTTAAAAGTTGGAAATCGAAACATTCAAGAAACAGAAGAATTTTCTATAGATCAAGAAACAGGTGAATTAAGATCGAAAATTATTCTTGATCGCGAAGTAAAAAGCAAATTTGAGGTAAATTTTATTCATATATTTCTAAAAAATTTATAATATTCATCATATTCAAAATAATAATACTTAATTTTAATATTATTTCAGCTTGTTCTTGTAGCTGCTGATCATGGTACACCTACAGCATACGAAACTTTACGCCTACTTACTGTACAATTAGTTGACACAAACGACAATACACCACAATTTTATGATGAATATCATTTTCAAATATCAGAAAATCGCCCAAAAGATTACTTTGTAGGAAAAGTAATTGCAGAAGATAAAGATGAAGGAAGACACGCAAAAGTATATTATTACATAGAAGCTGGTAAATAACATATATAATTATAATTTTTGAGATTATAGAAATATTAAAACGATGAACAAATTTATGCTAATGTCACAATCATTTTTCAGGAAACGAAAATTATGCATTTTACATAGACAAATCTGATGGTAGCATATATACAAATAAATCATTCGATCGCGAAACTCGAGATAAATATGTTTTATCGATATTGGCTTCTAATGATCCTGATATTTATATAAGTCCTGCAGATGCAGGACGACCATTAATGCACAATACGGATCATGGATATGTAAATGTTACTATAATTATTTTGGATGAAAATGATAATTCGCCAATATTTGAACGTAATGATTATTATGCTGGTGTTAATTCAATGGCAAATGTAAACGATTTTGTAACAAAAGTAACAGCATCAGATTTAGATGTTGGAGATAATGGCACACTCCATTATTATGTTGCCAGTGCAAATCTTTACAAATATGGATCAGAAAAACCTAGTGGTTCTATAGTTCCAAGTCCTTTCATTGTAACACAAGATGGTAAACTTGTTACAAGTGGATATATGGCTGAATATAATCAAGATAGATTTATCGTTGAAGTTATAGCAAAAGAAGCTGCTATTCCAGAAAGATATGCAATGACTAGAGTTCATGTAAGTTATTTCATGTGCAAATATCTTCTTATCTAATTTTATAATTATTTATTTATTATGTTAATGAAGGTTTGGGTATTCGAAGCCTCACAATTAATAAGAGTTATTTTATCAAGACCTCCTGAAGAAGTAAATCGCGAACGCGATGAAATCGTATCAGAATTATCGAATGCAACTCAAAGTAGAGTCGTTGTCGATGATATACGGTATCACGTAGACGCATCAGGTCATATTCGTAGAGAATGGTAAAGAAAAATATTTTGAATACTTCTTAAATTAATATAATATCTAAAAAGCATAATATCTAAATACAATTTATAGGTGCGACATGTATTTACACGTAGTGGAATCAAAAACGCAAACTATTGCTCCAGTTCCACAAGTACTTAAAGTTATTGATGCAAAATATGATTTCTTGAAAGATTATTATGCTGGTTTTGCTATTGAAAATGTTGTGGTAAATATATATTAAATTTTTATATTAAATTTTGTATACTTAAAATTGTATAAATATATTAATAGAATTGGATTTTATAATAATATAATTTTTCAGCCTGCTTATGCTGGAGTACAGGAAGAACCTTTCGATCCTGCATTAGCTGCTTTAATTGCCTTATTGGTAGTTTTATTAGTTGGTGCAGTTACAGTAACGGTAGTTTGTTGTTGTTTACGGCATTGGTAAATATTAAATAAATATCCTTATTTTAATATGGAAAATATAAAATATATTATATTATATATAATATATTATATATATTATATATTATATATAATAATATATATATAATATATTTTAGGGTAATCACTGTGCCAAATGATATACGAAAAAAAGATGGCTTAATAAAAAAACAAATTATTGATGAATTAAATACTACAGAAAATCCTTTGTGGATTGAACAGTGAGTAAAATTATTTTTTATAAATATAAGATTCAGTATGATGTATTTATATAATACTTATTTTCAGAAAACTTAAATTATATGAAGAGCAAGAATTAACAATGCAAGTATTTAGTGAACCTGAAGGTGGTCTAGGTACAGAAAGACGTGGAAGTGGTGTAAGTGTTGGTATGGGTGATACATCTCAAGATAACACTTATGCTACTATTCAACGTCCACTACCTACGAGTAGGCATCGTCCTACGACGCCAGATTATACAACGCTTCCAGGAAACCATAATGTATGAAGAAAAATTATTAAATATATACAGTAGATAAATTGTTATATAGAATTTGAAAATGTATTTATATGTTTTTACATAGCTTTACGAATCGGCCATGGGTTTCCAAGGATCAACATTTCAGCCATCTTCGAATGTAATGCCTCAATTTACACTTGATCGTGATGGCCAACCCCAATTCGTTTCAGGGCTAGTATAAATTAAGTTTTATGCCAATCCCTCTTTTTTAATCAATAATATAACTTATCATCATACATCGTACCTCTTTAACCACTGCTCTAACTGTTGCACGCGCCTTTCTGAAATTACACTCGCATGCACACACCTTTTCGACAATAATCGGATAATATCGTTAGGTTTGTCTGCGAGTAGACGCGTGTACAAGAAGAGCAAATTATCCCGAATTATACAGAAAAATCTACCCTGACTGTGCATCTTTTGCAATTTCAGTTCGAACTCTTCAACAACGAAGAAATCAAGATGAAGAGTAACAACGAACAGTCAATATTACTGGAATAAATATTTCCCTGTAGCTGGTGTGTGCATGTATATATGTGTGCGTTGCCAACCTATGGTCTTATCTAACTAATTGTTAGGTTCATTGTTAGAAAAATCAAAATTGCTAGATAATAGACACTGTGAAATAGCTTAATGACCAAAGCTTGGCACGACAGATATATGTATATAAATGAATGTGTAGACTCCGTCCAGCGCAGTTTTCTGATTACTTCCTCACTAGTTTAGTATTTATATAACTTATGTACGTTTTGCACGCGTAACAAAAAGAACGTACTTATAGTGTCATTATCTTGTGAACAAATCACTGCCATATTATGGCATTAACATACAATAAAATGTTCTAATAATAAAGAGAACATACTCATAATGTTAAAAATATTTGTAATAAGAAAAACAATTCAATCGAAATATCAATATATATCATATAAGTTCATGTACAATTATTAATTTTCAATATGTTATATTTATTTAAGTTAGAATTAAATGACTGATTTTTATCTGATTAATCTGTGATTTGATTACGCCCGCATATATAGTGACGGTTAAATTGCATTTGAGATTTCTTACAACTCATTGGCGATGGGCGGATATAGTCATATCATAGCTAGTGAAATGGAGACATTCGCATCAAATTTCAATGTTATGTAAAAACATAATCATTTCGCGCTGCGAAGACCACACTGTTTTTCATCATCTAAACCGTCCTCAACGAAACATATGTGCATTGGGGTCTATGAAATTTATTGCGAACGGCTCTAAACGTACAGTATATCATATACTCAAAAACAATAACTTAACTACGATCATGTTATGTCTATAAACATTTAATGTAAAACTAATATCAGTATCATAATATTACTAGGTGGTTACGAATATTATAGTTAGTAAAAGTATCTGTTTATTGGTTATAAATTTATTGTAACATATTTTATGTAAGTCATTGATAAAAAAAAGTATTCATATATCAACATTCATCACATCTCACATCATGTGAAAATAAATATTCAAATCTGTGTATATTCAATTCTTCTCAATATCCATATGTTCTTTTTTATCCAAGTTATTTTTTTCTTTTTTATTAGATTTATCATCTAATAATTTTGGTCCATAATTAAAAATTTGGACTACTGAATTTGGTTGTTCTATCCATAATTTATATCCTTTTTTTGTAGGGTATCTTTTAATACTTAAACATGTTAAACATGTCCATTTTATACTTTTTATAGGTTTTGATATTAATCGTACTTTTGCAGTTTCCCCAGGTATAAGGGGAGATTGACAACATTTACAAATTGTTCTCTTAATATCAGGTTCTCTTAAAGAAAAAAAAATATATATATATACATTTACATAGTTTCTAAAAATTGATTAAAATTATGATTATATATATATATATATACATATATAACTATACAGATATCATATATAGTTGAACCTGAATTTTCATCTTTTTTTTTCTGTATTGGATATATATAAAAAAAAACACAATATTTCATTTTTTTTGAGTTTGAAAAAATTATTACTAGTCTATAATTTAATATATATAAAAATAAATTTAATTATTCACAAATGGAACATTTTTGTAAAAAAAAATACATTTATGAAAAATATATTTATAACAATAATCTAAATGTATCATATCAATTAAATAAAATTTTAAATTATTTTATAATTAAACTTACATTCTTAAAACAGATTTTTTTTGCACAACCAACCATTATGTTTCCATAATATGATGCTGCTACTCTATTTTTTAAAGCCATCAAGTAACTTGCCTGTATAAATAATATTTTATTAATAATTGTATTTTAACATAAAACAATAAAATATAAATTTTTAAGAATTATTATTACCTGGTATAAGTAGTTCATTCTTTCAAAAATGTCCTTACCCTGACATAATTTTGTATTTGTATCTAACAATTATAATATAAACGATAAATATATAATATTACAAATATAAATATATTCTAATAATTTTACATTAAATTTAATACTAACCCATAGTACTTATAAGAATTAAAGGTATTTATTTCAAGTTTATTTTATAATGATATTTTTATGATAATATAAGGGTTATGTTGTATTATTTACATTTATTTACTTCACCGTTTTCACTGTCAACATAACCATATCACTTATTATTAATAAAATAAGTTTATCACTTATTATTAATTAAATAAAAATCATTTTTAATAATTAATTAAATGAGAAAAATATATTTTTATTATATTTTTTAATATAGAATATAAATATTAAGTCGATTATAAAAATAGAATATATATTAAATTTAATAAATATACGAAAAAATGAACAAATAAGTACATAGTATAGAAAAATCTATTTTTTACTAAATCTAGTTAAATAATTAGTTTTATAAATGCAATGATGTACTTAAAAATTATACTTTTTTAGATATATTCTATGCAAAAAGATATTGATATATAATATAAAATTATTATTTAAAATTATTATTTATATTTAAAAAATTTAATAATAATTTAAATTTAATATTAAATTTCGTAAGATATTTACGAAATAGAATTTCTAGAACTTTTTATAAGTTATTTTTGTAAAAAGAATATATATAGAAATATATTTTTAAATATATTATTATATATATTAATATAGTAAAAGAATATTTTCTATATTATAGTATAAATACTTATGGATAAGTCAATTGGTAAATCAACTGAAATTCAATCATTTAAAATTCTATTATTCATTTCAAATATTTTAATACTTAACAAAACAAAAAATATACAATAATACATATAATACAGATCTTAAACTATATATCATAAAATAGAATCTTGAAAATTCATTTTTTTAATATATTATAAAAATGTCTAGAATAAATTGGTTCTTGTGGACGTTCTCTTCCTGGAGTACAAATAAAATCCTTATGTGTAATAGAAATATCATTAGAAACTGATGCTAAACTATTAATTAATGTATGAGATGTGTTATTATCATTATAAGTTGATGTTAATCCATTTTGTTTTATTTTACATTTCCAACTGAGATTAGGAGTAAATTCAACTTCTAAGTTCTCTATACCTTCAACTAAGTTCCGATCAGAACTTTCATTAATATTTACATTTGTTTTATCAGTTCTATGTAATTTAAAAATAAAATGTTAAAATAATAAATATTTATTATTATTTACATAGAATATTACAAATTATAAACTTACTGGTCTAAAATATTATCTTCATTATAATCATAACCATATTCTGCAAAAACACCTTCCAAATTATCACAATCTTCTTTTAAAGTTTCATATTCTTTTCTAGTTTCTTGAAGAAACTCTTCCATATGTATTGGATTTTCTATGCTCCAATTTGTTGTTTCTGATAAAATTTCCTCAATTCCATTCTAATTATATTATATTAAAAAAATTAAATAAATATAAAAATATCTTTTTTTAGTTAATAATTTTAAATAAATAATATCATAATATTTTTATGATATAGATAATACTGACCTGTGTATTTTTTATAATATTCCATACAGATTCGACATAATTAATTGTTTCTTCTGTACATTCTCCAAAACATCCAATTAAAACATGTGGCAATTTCCATGTTGTTATTAATTTTTCAATACCATCATCAAGTTGCCGTGCTTGAATTATTAATTTTTCAAAATTATTTGAGTACATTGCACAAAAATAATATCAATATTTTTATTTTTTTAAACAGTTTGATAATTTCAAATGTCTACATAACGGTTTTTAAAATAAGGATATACATTTTAGCCAACATAACATATATAATTCCCTATAAAATACATTTGTTAATGAAATAAATTATCAGTTATAAATAAATTAAATCATAAAACAAGTTATTATATTGATTGTACATTTTCATATAAAATAAATTCTACTTATCTCGAAAATAGTAGAAAGTTATAAAATTGAATTCACTTCTTTTTCATTTTAAAACATGATTGATATTATTTTCGGATATAAAAAAATATATCTTAAAAATTTGTAATTGTAAATTTGACTTTATTTTTAATAAATATTTAGTTTACATACAATGAATCGTATCATTGGATTTTTATCTAATAATATATAAACAAATGGATTCGTTATAAAAATAAGTAATTTATTTTTTTATTATTTTATATTTTATATTTTCTATATTAATTTTGTATAAATAATTATATATTTTTTTATATGCAATATTTTCTTAAACTTCAATAAAAAATATATTCATTCTATAATAAAATGATTTTTTATATATAAATAATCTAGAATATATTTTATAGAATATATATATAATATATTCAGTATATATTAAAAAATATAATAATGTTATTATGTATATTTATGTATATTACTATAAAAATATACTATAAAATTAGTTACATATTTAAAAACAATATAAAATTATATAAAATATTTAATAAAATATCATATTTAAATAAGTAAAATAAAATTTAAATAAAAATTTTTTTGAAATTATTATAATATCAAGATATATATCAAGATTTTTAAATTTTATGAAATTTTTATATTAATTTTTCATTATTAATTTATTGATAACTTATTTGTAAGTAATAATAAAAAACAGAACTTGCAAAATTGTTATAAAAATAATAGTTTTATGTTAAAGAAAAATGCGAATTAAAAATTATTATTAATATAAATAATAATATTGATAATTTAATAATAAAAATAAAAAAAATATTTATATAATAAAAAGAAAAAAGTAAATAAATATTCAATTAATAAAATAAATGCATATATATTTATTATATATATATTTAATTACATATATTTCTTTAATGATATAAAAAATTTATATAAAAAAATAATCAATATAATTTTGTAAATTAATTTTAAAATATACTCATGTTTAAAACATGCTATTAAGAAATTATATTATTTTATAATTAAATAAAAAATCTTTTATTAAATATATAAAAATGAATAATATAAAATGTTTGATTTATGCATATGATATAACTAATTTAATATTTTTATAATTATAAAAAGACTTATTAATTATAAATAGAAGAAAAAAATGAGTTAATATTAAAGTAATAATAAAATATTCTTAAAAAATTTATATTTTAATTAACGTAATATTACTTTTGATTTATTGAATATATACTTATATCATAGTCGCACCAACCTCCATTTTCAGATAGAAACGTTCGTAACGGGTTCTAGGGAAACGTTAATGACGGAAGTGTGAACAATATAGGAAAAGCTACATAAATGTGAAATTATAATCGCACATGAACGCGATTCGTGAATATATGATATTGGGTGCAACGAGTAATGGCTACTGCAATATTGTAAGAAAAAGTGTTCCGCCTGACAGCAGTAGAAATGTAGTTCGTGTTAGTCGAAGAATATTTTGTGGTTTAATTGTATATACAGATTTTTTCAATTAACTAAGGTTAATAACAAATTCATTTGTTCCATGACTTCCCTACTAAATACTACGTAAGTATATAAATTATAAACTTTATATAATATGAATTAAAGTAATTAATACAAATATTTTTCCATATAAAAACAATATGTATATACATTGTGTGTGTATAATATATATATATATATATAAAACATTTATATTTCTAAATTCGTATATAAGACATATATACAATTAATTAAAAATACAATAAATATACAATAAATTAAAAATATATATCTTTTCTGTGAAAGTAAATTTAAGTTTCAAAAAATACATTTTTTTAAATAAATTTATATTAATATTTAGATTACATTAATGTAATAAATTATGTAATTTATATTGTTATTTTAGGTCAACAAAAAATGACAGTATTAGAAACAGAAGAAGATGCAGATAAACGTTCAGTTCCTCCTAGGAAAAAATTTTGCTTATCCCTTTCTGGTCGTGAACGTACAATTTCTATTAATACTTCTCAGGCTCCTCAGACTTCAGAGAGGGAGAGCCTTTTAAACAAAGATACCTGTACTCATAGTATGTAAACTTATCTAACTCTATTATTTTATAAATTTTTATTATATTTAAAAAATATGTTTAAATTTATATATTTATATATAATTTAACATATATTTATTAATTATAAAGGTATAAGCAAAATGTTGAATGGTTATCGTAATCAATTGAGCAATCATCAAGATGGAAGTTATGATGTATCAAATAGCGGTACAGAAGGATTAAGGATAGCTACTTTATGTAATTTAGGAAATACATGTTTTTTGAACAGTGTGATATATACTTTACGATTTGCACCATCATTTCTACATAATTTGCATCATTTGGCCACTGATTTGTCTAATTTAAATGATAAACAAATTCAAACTAAAGTAAGATTTATTTTATTAAAAATAAAAACTTTTTATAATTTTATATAGTAATAATGCCATAAAATTATATGATTTTTTTATATTAGATAAAATCATCATCTTTGGGCAGAACTGGTGTCTCACTTACATCAAGTGGCAGTCGGAGTTGGAGTAGTAAAGATTTATTGGCTTTGGCTGGACCTACTGGAGATAATAATAAACATAGAATACAAATAGCTACTGAGAAATTACATGAATTATTTATGGCATTGCGTGCATCTGAAGCAAGAGAAAACAGTGAACCATATCAGCCAGATGCGTTTTTGCAAGCTCTTAGGTACATATTATATTAAAAAAATATATATATTTAAGATAGAAATATATATATTACATATATTGTATGGTATATATTTTTCTTTCAGAGATGTAAATCCTATCTTTGAGGGAAATCAACAACAAGATGCTCATGAGCTTTTAGTATGTTTACTCGATAATATTAGGGAAACATTCCAATTGTTGGTCAGACATAGAGAAAGTCAATTTGGACAAAATAATGATACATTATCAGACTTTTCCACTGAACATTTAACAGATGTACAATCAGAAGGTAATAATTCTAATAAAAGAAGCATTCGTAAATCAAGAAAAAAGAAAAAAATAACAACAAGAGGAAGTTCATCTTGTCTTGTACAATCAAATTTAAATGGTGTATCAGTATCTTCTAGACCATATGAAAATGTGAAATATTATATGAAATATTGTATGAAATATGAAAATGGTCACGCTGAATTTCCGGAAAGTAATGGAGATATAAGTAGTCATAGATTGGAAAGCAAGAAATGTTTTATTTCAGAAGATTTTGAAGGAATTAGTCTTTTGCGAACTACATGTCTTGAGTGTGAACATGTTACAGAACGAAAAGAAACATTTTGCGATATATGTGTGCCTATAGATATAGACAGATCAAGTGAAAAAGGTACATATTATCTTTTATTAT